CGCAACAGGATGCACAAGAATTTCTTTGTTTCCTGCTAGAAGGACTGCACGAGGACGTCAACATGGTCGTAGATGAACCGAAGCCGAACCCAAAGACAGTTCTCATGGAAATCGACGAATCATCGAGTTTAAATGTCGAAGCAATGTATTCGTGGCCGAGATTCTTGAGAATGAGTAATTCTAAGTTCGTCGATAATTTTGTCGGAAGTTCCAGTCTACTTTGAGATGCACCTTTTGTGGCAATTGTTCGGAGTCGTTCGACCTATTTTGGGAATTGTCTTTACCGATACCACAGCAATCAGGCCAACTCAAGTTGTCTCATCGCTTGAATTCGTTTACCAGTGTTGAGATTTTAGTCGGCGAGGAGAAATCAATTTGCTCGATGGGTAAAGAAAAGAGAAAATGTTTGAAGTCATTATTCATCCACAAGTTCACTAAAATTTTGGTTATACATCTGAAACGTTTCTCGCTGACTGAAGAGTTCAGTGGAAAACTAAACACAATTGTCGACTTCCCCTTGATCGGCTTGGATATGAGCCTCTTTGCAGCTGAATACATCGTTTCATGTCCTTACAATCTGTACGCTATCTCAAATCACAGCGGTACCACCTACAGCGAACACTACACAGCTTACTGCAGACATCTTCATACGAAAATTTGGCACGAGTACAATGATTCTCAAATTTATTCAGGGAGCTTCGAGTATTTTGATTTCTGCCGTTCCTTGTTTGCCCAATGATCGCTCATAGGGTTAAACCCCTCTTAATAACAAAAAATACGAACAGAAAGAAAGAATAAGGAAATGAGGCAAAGTTGATGATATCACGAAGTGCTACTCGTTTCTTGAAAATGCTCTGGTTTTTAGTATATTCCATATATAGTTGGCGATGTTTTTGCATTTAAGTGGAGTAAGATTGTCGATGAAGTCGATCAACGAGTGGCTATTCGGGAGATGATCACCGTTTGGTATTCTGAAACTATTGTAAATCGGACAATCGAACAAAATATGCTGCAGAATTGTGCGAATGATCTGAATGGGCAAATGGAAATGTAGATAGTTAGCCTCAGCTCTTGTGACAGTTGGCTGTTTATAAAATAGCAGAAATTCGGATCTCTGCAGGAGGGCACGATCTTGTCCGTGGAGTTTACTATAAAATTTAGATAATAAATAAGTTTTATGGGTTCTCAAAGAGTGAGGGTTCATTTCAATCAGAAACTCTGAGGCGTCGATAAAATCAAAATGTTCCTTCACTTGAAGTGCCCAGTTGTACTTTGTTCACTAGTTCTATCTCCTGAATAGCTCATCTTCTTCCTTATAGAACTGGCGGTCTAGATTATTCTATAAGTCGGTGGTGCCATCAGGCCTTGGATTGAAATGGTCAGTTGATTTTCAAATATAAATAGATAGGTGATTTGCGAAAATCAATATTCCATATTGTGTGAATATGTATTTACTCAACACAGGAACATGTTTGCTTCACTAGCATAGTACATTCACGAAATGAGTAACAAGTGCACATCATTTAGAGGGCTATTTCGAGGATGAATACATTCTCGAAACTAATTCCACGAACTCGTTTCATATCAAACCATCTACTGCATGAGAGATAATCTGAGTGATTTCTGTTCTGTATATCGGCTCCCCTACGCCACTCAAACCGAGTGGCAAATATTGCACGTCTCATAGCGTTGATGTGAGAGCAAACTGCTGCCAGGCAGTGAATGATTCGTTAGGCTCATCAGACAGCGGCGGGTTACCCATAAAGTAGGGACTGATTGAGATGCCCGAATATTCCTATTAGCTGCAGCAGTATTCTGTGATCTTTCAAACGCCTTTGACTGTGTAAATCACAGAATACTGCTTCAAAAGTTACAAACCTATGGCTTCAGAGGTGTAGCATTACTCTGGTTTCAATCTTATATGGCCGAACGCTTCCAAAGCGTCATCATCGCAAATGTGAACTCGAAGCATCTGGGTCTCAAACATGGAGAACCGCAAGGCTCTGTACTGGGACCCCTGCTATTTTTATTATATGTGAATGACCTAACACTTGTAGACATACACGGGCAACTCACAATATTTGCAGACGATACGACTATCATTTGGCTTGGTACTGATAACGTAATTTTAGAAGACATCATCAATGAGGACCTGAACAAAGTTGGAAAATGGTGCGACGCCAACTTATTGTCTTTCAACACCTCTAAGACAGGTATAATCAACTTTAAGAGCGTTATCAACAATGGATTTTTCGATAATGCATGTCTTTGCATCAAAGCTACACATAAATTCTTACATCCGAAGAATTAGGTCTAACTGCGAAAAATAACGCTTACTACTCACTCATTGAATCTATCGCACCTACGCTATGGCACAGAATACTCGTATTCTGTGGCTTCTGGGGCATGTGCGCAAAATATTCATTCGATAGAGTTTTTAATCTCCAAAACAAGATATACGTGCAAAGCCGATTTCGAGGGATTCTTGTAGACCTTTATTTTCGATTCATAGAAAAGAACAAAAGTTTGGGAAATCGGTAAAAAAGTTTCTATTGGAGAAAGCGTGTTATAATCTCACCGAATTCTATCAGGTTGCTTATAATAAGGAAGAGGATAGATAAGGATTCCTCTTTCAATCATTTCCTTAATGAGGGATCACAAGCAATAGGGTTGCTTTTGGAATAACTATGTTGGGGCTGATTCCAGCTATCCCTGAAGAGTTATATTGTCTATATTGCTCACAGAATGTAGGTAAATACATGAAAACGTAGGTGTGTCTCGCGAATTTTGAAAAAAATAATTCACCTCCCCGCAAACGAATTTATTCCAGGTAGTCTCCACCCTGTACATATATTCTAGTTACCGTGATTGATAATCTTTGTATTATTCACAATCCATCTAGAACCTAATGAATTGGCGAATCTCGACCCTAGTTACATCAGAATAGTCAGACCAAGAAAAAGTAAAATCTGTTATAATGTATGAAGTATTATTCGTTTTGCCAATCGACCAAATTGGAATAATCATTGAAAAAACGACAATCCAAATGTTCACTGAGTTACTCGAGGATAGTTAGTAAACATGATTAGAGTTCATGAGTTTTGATGAGAAACAGGTTTATTCATTTTTGAACAAATACCAAATTACTCACCCTGCAGTTGTTCATAATGATATAATATAGCGAGAATGTGATTCTGATGATCAGGCAAATACCATAACCTCAGGTTTATTTCATTTAGTTCGCTTCTTTTCGCAACGAAGCTCTTTTTGATACTACAGGTCTGTTGGTTTGTGTTGCTGAACTTGCTAAATTTGATTCAGTTTCCATTGTTGTCTCTGTTCATGGCATGCTGTAAAGTCATAGAAAAGAATCAAGTTTAGCAGGTGCATGTCATTCCTGTCCTCACTTGGAATAGGTATTTTGAGAGTGGGTACAGTTAGAGAATTCAATCTGCGCCTCATATTGATGAAATAAAATTGATGCTGCACTGGAAAAAAATTCGTCTGCGGAGTTTGCGCCAACTGTAAAACTGCGTAGTGTTACGAATGACGCCGAATATCGGCGCAATAATCAAACTCCGAGAGGCATAAATGGGTAAAGGGAAAAGAAAGGTTAGGAAATGAACAATGCCATAGAATTAGCATCGAATCATGTACCTCAACAAGCGACAAGTATCAAAGAGGCATCCAGGATTGGAAGACTAATAGTCATAACAACATTTCACCCACAATTTTACAATCATATAGAAATTTGATAGGTATTCCTTGAACCCTCATTTCCAGGGCAAACACAGCAAAGTTTATGATCTTGCATGAGTTGATACATGGAGTGGAGCGGTTAGGAAGTTATTCGGTTTGAATCTAGTCAGATAAGTTTGATAAGCATCATCTGAGTCAGTCCATTCAAATAACACGCTATGATCTTGAGCAATGCCCATGCAAGAAGTGAATCAGACATTTTGTTTCATAACTATACATGGTTGTATATCGCACGTCATTGCATATGATGTGGGCATTTTCTTGACATTCTGAGTAGAGCAACTTCAGTTCAGATCAATTGTTTGAGTTCAACTGATCTCTTTATAGATAATCACTTAAAAACATTCGAATGAGCAATAACAGTTGCTTGTAGATGATAAATGAAGTCCTGAGACGAAATGACGAGCGCGACATTACAATATATCCTCGAATATATCATCATAGAAGATCAGTTTACCACAGCTGATGAGTTGGGCGAGTCAATTTATCGCGAAGATATTAGAAAGGATAGTGCAACCGGCCTGAAACATTTTCAAATTGACTGCAACTGTCATATAGTGCTCTGGGCTCACATGAGCAAACATCGTCTGCAAGCCAGATTCCACGAAGGGTGCATTGAGAAGACACGACCTACCTTGCAGTCTTTGCAGTCGTGTGCGATAGAGTAGTTCTGAGCGCAGTCGTACCGAGTGAGCAGGTCGGCGTGTCCACGAAATGACGAGTGCGACATTACAATAAATCATCATAGAAGATCAGCATACCACAGCACAGCTGATGAGTTAGGAGAGTTATTTTCTTGCTAAGATATCAGCAAGGATAGTGCAACCGGCCTTAAACATTTTCAAATTGACTTCAACTGTCATATTGTGGTCTGGGCTCACATGAGCAGACATCGTCTGCAAGCCAGATTCCACGAAGGGTGCATTGAGAAGACATGACCTACCTTGCAGTCTTTGCAGTAGTGTGCGATGGAGTATAGTTCTGAACGCAGTCGTACCGACTGAGCAGGTCGGCGTGTCCACGAAATGACGAGTGCGACATTACAATATATCATCGAAGAAGATCAGTATACCACAGCTGATGAGTTAGGCGAGTCAATTTATAGCTAAGATATCAGAAAGGATAGTGCAAATTTTCAAATTGACTGCAACTGTCATATTGTGGCTCTGGACTCACAAGCACAGACATCGTCTGCAAGCCATATTCCACGAAGGGTGCATTATTGAGAAGACACGACCTACCTTGCAGTCTTTGCAGTCGTGTGCGATGGAGTAGTTCTGAGCGCAGTCGTACCGAGTGAGCAGGTCGGCGTGTCCGCAGGAGAGCCTCCTGGCGAGCCGATCGACCTCGATGAGCGCCTCCAGGTGTCTTCGGCACGCCGCCTCGCCGTGGAAGGCGTCTTCGGGGAGGGCCGCGTCGACGGCGTGTTCGCAGCAGTGACGCATCCGGAGTCCGTGCAGCACGTCACGCCTGCGCTCGGGAGCCACGTCGCGGCCGCACACCTCCTCTTTGTGCGATTCTTGCAAGTAATAAAGGCACTGTGTAGATCTGTTGGCGGTCGGCATCTGCAGGCGGCAAGGCGGCGGACAGAAGGCCTCTGCCGCAGAGGAGGCAGAGCACGAAGGAAGCGGGACCGTGGCGGCGGAGACGAAGGAGGTGGTGGTGGTGGTGGCGAAGGCCAGGCCGGCCATCAGGAGCAGCGATGACAGGCCCGATGACGGGGCCCGGGGCATTCTGCGGGGCAGGGTGCGGTGGCGATGGCGACGGCGGCTCGGTCGTCAGCTGCTACGGGAGCCGGGAGCATCGCTGCGGGCGGCAGGAGTGCCCTCCCTCGCGGCTCCGAGTGCCCCCGGGGTCGGTGTGCCTCCGGGGCCCGCTACCAGGCTGCCGCTTCTCTCGAAGGCGAGCGGGCCCCCAGCAACCCTCGCTCATGATGCATGCTCGACAGAAGAAGGCCGCCTGGACATCTCACATCACGCACTCTAGGACACTGGTCGCGCTACTGCTGGGGCTCGAACACTTTTGACGTCGCGGACTGCCGCCATCTTGGCTCGCAGAGGTGTATGTGGTGTGGTGATGGTCGCAAACCTCGCCGCCCGGGCCGAAGCTATGCCGGCCGTCTCTCGCTCGACACTGACGAGCTGGCGGCGGCGCAAACGGGCGCCGGCGCGATCGATACCGCCTCTTGCGAATGGATATGGATGCCGCTTGCCCCGCCACTTCGGATGAGGACTAGACCGACGGCTTCGAACGGCGATGATGCTGCCAGGCGTTATCACAGCCACCGTCATTGTCATTCATGAGGAATGTTTGCCGTTCGAGATGGGCTCTGTCAGTTCATATCGTTACGTTGAGTTCCAGTGTTACGATTCTGCATCTTCACAATTTCTGTGTATCAATCTGATCAGTTGATGAGATGCTCTCTCGAAATTGAAAAGGCATTCTTACCTCACTCACACGTCACTTTCAGATTTCTTTCAAAAAAATTCGTGATGAAGCAATTCAATTCCATTTTGAGCACTCCAACTAGGCCATCGTGCTCGAAATCGTACGTGTTTTGAACATCTCAATATCTCATATACTTTATTACACAGAGTGTACCTAAAAAGTCTTTACAAAAACCTACCACATATTCCTCGGACCGAAACAATCCTCAGTACAAAGATGCTCAGTTTGGACGCTAGACGGCTCTGAACTCGAAATTTTTAAATGTTCTTTGCTTCACACCTTTCAAACGGCCCATATGATTATTCACTCAACTTTGTTATGTTGGCATAACTATATTGGGTAATGAAACCCATATCATAAATATGATCGATATCATTCCATGGGCGTAGAACTTGATTTTTGTGATTTTCTCTTTCATTTCTTCCATATTCACAATTGGTCACTCATCAACCAGTTGTTTCAAGTAGCTCCACAAATAAAAATCGAGTGGGGTGAGGTCTGGCGACCGAGCTGGCCAGTTGCTATCACCATCGAGACAATTGGTGGTTATTAGATTTTAATTATTTCCTTATCATTCGATTTCAATCTTGTTATATTGATGAAATCTAATCATATAAATTTTTCATTGAATCGTTTCATTTTTTGCCATATCTTCGTTGTCGTTTGAAAAAATCCCATCAAACCCGGCATTGTTGAATTTGTAATGAGGAACTCTACTTGAATAAGGAATAATATACTCGGTGTTCCTATTCAAATAAGATAGTTGAGGTGCACTTCGGTGTGACCCTGTATCCTGTATACCTACGATTCATTCAATAGCATAATTCGAGTGAGCATCATCAAATATTCTGGGTGCTTGATTTTTTACAGGGGGAGACATTTTAGCTGATGGAACACGGTGTATATTTTCATATCTTTATACATCATATTATTTATCCGATTTGAAAAAGATTGTCAATTCTCATTTTCAGAGGAGTTTTATAATAATGCTCTCCTTTTGAATGTTCAACAGATATAATTCAATGTACGATGTGGCAAATAACCAGGAAAGTAGTTGTTTTTTGTTAAATATATAATTGTTTTTTTCCAAAAACGATGCGTTATTTGATTGATTTATCATGATCATATTAAATATTTCCATACGTATATATAGCACACAATGGGGCATCCTCAAAATATCGAGCCAATAAATAGCCTCAAGAGGACGTCCTATTTCTCTCATCCTGATAAAACATCATACTATTTCAATAAGGAATTCTAATTAGGAATCAACTATAATTGTTTTTGCAAGAGTTCATACTTATAAATTTTTTGAGGACATGCTATCAGGAACTGATTGTAGGTTAATTTATCTGTAAAACATTTTCGATTTCGATTTCCAGCACGGGCAAGGAACTTTTTTCAATATTTTATTTACGAATTAAATATTGTAAAGTTTCGGAGCATCGGCTGGGGATAGTCCTGCACGATTCGCTGTTGCGTTCCAATTAACAGTGCTGCTCCTAAAGTGGCGCATGGAGTTAGTAACAAAGCCTACACAGAACACGCAGAAAGATATGATGATGTGGTTGTGAGCATCAGAGAAGAAGTAGGACGGTGTATGTAGGTGGGTGTGGAAAACTACCAGCTGAGCGTGAGAGCGGGCCAGCTGCTTAAGTAGACCTCGGTCTCGGGGGTTAACGATGATAGTTAGCAGGCCTGCCACTGCGCATATGGTAGTGAGTACATTACTAGCCTACGTGTATGTAGGTGGGTGTGGAAAAATAACAGCTGAGCGTGAGAGCGGGCCAGCTGCTTAAGTAGACCTCGGTCTCGGGGGTTAACGATGATAGTTAGCAGGCCTGCCACTGCGCATATGGTAGTGAGTACATTACTAGCCTACAAAACACAGCTGAAAAACTCTGAAAAGAGAGCTGATGGGCGGTGCCTGAAAAGGATGTTAGCCAGCTCTCTTGAGCGAACCACATCAGTCATTGAAAACACTTGGGGTTGGCAAAAAGGTCCCATTGGGGACTAGTTGCTGACATGGAAACGTCCCCCACCAGTACCAGTACCAGTATCTGTAAAACACAGTTTATACTCATAGAGTACATGAAGAGCTGTCAATGAAAACCCATTGTGTATGTTCTGCAAAACACATTTCAAACTCATGAATGCCAATGTGTTTCAAAACTGATAATAAATATATCACAAGAAACCATTATCAGTAAATGATTATATATTGTGAAACACCGTTTATACTCATAGAGTAGGTAACTAACTGTCGATTAAAACTCATTATGAATGTACCTGCAAAACACATTTCATAGAAATAGATGTCACGGTGTTTCAATGATAGTGTATCTGCAGAACATAGTTTATTGCTATTGTGAATTCATTAGGAATGTATCTGCAAAACACATTTAAAAATCATCAAGGGTACGGTATTTCAATAATGTATTCCAATTGGGAACTGATTTGTATACTCATATAGGAATGACTATCGAGAACTTATTATGAATGAAGATGCCAAACTAATTTTACTCTCATGAATACTACAATATATTTCGATAAGGAATTGCCATAACAAACTGATTAAAAATGTATCTGTACTCATAGATACCGTTGGGAATTGCAAATAGGAACAACTGTACCTACAGAACACATTTCGAAATCATGAATTCCACGAAGTCTCAATAAGGAATTGCCATCAAGAACTGATCATGAATGTATCTGCAAATTATAGTTAATACATATAGCGAGTTCATTATTGAGAATTTTACCATTAGGAACTGATGTGAACATAACTGCAGAGTACATTTCAAGCTCATAAACTGCGACGGTGATTTAATAAGGCATGACTGTGTCACTATCCAAATTAATTCTCATATATTCTCATAGGGTACCTTATGGAAATAAGGCCCGGGCGAAAATACAGTCCATCCTGTTTTTCGTGGACATGAGGCGTTATCTATCAACCAGTGGCCTAATAAGCTTAGTGTTTCAATAAGGTGTAGATCACTTCCTGTTACTTTCGCTAACAGTTATTCAGGTAATCAGGCGAGATAAAGGGAATTGAATTTCTCGTTCTCTTATAGAATATTGCATTTTTGAAGTGTGTTGTTTCAGTGTTTGTTGGGAAAGATCGTTGAGTACATATACAGCTAGTGATTCACACGAGACCAACGAGACGAGACTTTCATAAAGTCTCGTCTCGTCTCGTCTCGCCGATGAAATATAAAGTCTTGTCTCGAGTCTCGTCTCGCATCCTCTAGTCTCGTCTTGTCTCGCGTCTCGTACGAGAATCTCGCAAATGTATCACAATTTCGTCATGCATAATCTTGTTTCAGTCTAGTACGGGATATTTATCTTTACCTACTTTTTAGGTATAATGTAGAAGTAGGAAGAGAAAATTACAACAAAAATAACATCATTTATTGAAAAGTAAGTACCTTATAGGTACATAATATTACTTACATCATACATCTGAACAAGAAATAAAAACATAGCATAATATAATATTCGAAAGTTATAAAAATAAAGTGAAATGTTTTGTCTATCTGTGCTAAATAGTCTGAATTCTTTCTAAATATGTTGTATTATGAATAAAATTCTCAAGTCTGCAGTCGGCACGCAAAAATATTTACCTGCGAGACTCTCGCCCGAGACACGAGACAAGACCAATAAAAGTCTCGTCTCGTCTTGTCCGAGTCTCGTCTCGAGTCTTGTCTCGAAAACGAGACGAGACCATGCGAGACTAATGAAAACGAGACTCTCGCGGGCACCACTATATACAGCTCAGAACTTTCTAGTTTCAGATAGAATTTCACTATACAGGGTGTCAATTTGAAAACTTCCCACCCTCAATATCTTCCTCCAAGTCGATAATATGGGAAAACGAAAAGACAGGTCGATTTTATTTTCCAGGGGGACATGGTTCTGAAATATTTTCAGCCCCGCGGCGTTGCCGCTTCTAACGAAAAGAAGCAACAACTTTGTTATTTCAAATGGAACACCCTGTATTTTTTTGCAATTTTAGATTCTCACTGAAAAGCTGATTTCATCAATGTATCACACTTGGGGTCTAGCAGGAATGATTACAGAGATATAGGGTGTTCAAAATCGAGATTTTACAACTTTAGGATTTTTTTGAGTCGAAACTATTCATTATTGGTCAAAACGGCTTTTATGTCCCTATCTCAACTTTTGATTTACTATCTACTGACATTTATTTGAAACAAATACAGGGTGGTTCAAGATTCAGACTTTTGATCACCCTGTATTTGTTTCAAATAAATGTCAGTAGATAGTAAATCAAAAGTTGAGATAGGGACATGAAAGCCGTTTTGACCAATAATGAATAGTTTCGACTCAAAAAAATCCTAAAGTTGTAAAATCTCGATTTTGAACACCCTATATCTCTGTAATCATTCCTGCTAGACCCCAAGTGAGATACATTGATGAAATCAGCTTTTCAGGGAGAATCTAAAAATGCAATAAAATACAGGGTGTTCCATTTGAAATAACAAAGTTGTTGCTTCTTTTCGTTAGAAGCGGCAACGCCGCGGGGCTGAAAATATCTTAGAACCATGTCCCCCTCGAAAATAAAATCGACCTGTCTTTTCGTTTTTCCATATTATCGACTTGGAGGGAGATATTAAGGGTGGGAAGTTTTCAAATTGACACCCTGTATAAAACCTGAATATTATTCACCAGTTTTTGATACATATCCTCACATTTCTCGTCCCCCTATTTTTCACTTGACCATATTAACCTTAATGATGGACATAAAGCCTATATTCAATGTTTTTTCAAAATGTGTGTTTTTGTTTTTTGTAATGAGGAACCTTCAATCAGAAATCAGAGAATTTATTTCAAATTTTATTATGGGTTCATAAAGAGTTTTGCAAGAAATCAGTAGTGTTAATTATTAAATAATTATTTTACGGGCAACATACTCAAACGTGGGCTTCATTACCCCAATGTACCTTTTATATATATTTTTGTATTAATTTCTAAGTGATTTTTGGCAAGGATTGCCCCAATATAGTATATTCTGTGAGCGTTCTAGTATTTCATTGATTCAAATCCTTCACTGATATTGGCCAATCGACTCTAGATGTAATGTTTCGTTTCAAGGGTTGCGGAGATAAGATTTTTTTGAATGAAGGAAAAGATCGGTTCGAATAATCAATTCTATGAGGAACATAATGGGGCAAAAAAAGATGAAGTCAATAAAAATATATATTTTATTGCTTTAATAAAGATTTGAATAAAAGAACTGGTGGGCGTCTGAAAATATCATACATCAGATCATATCTGGAGAGATTAAAATGATGAAGATAGAATAAAATCTTGGATTTGTCCAAATATGATGATGAAAATAATGATCAGTGCCTTAAGTATGTATGTACAACAATACATTTTGAAATGTACTTTGGAAGAGGTATCATTTTATTATGATTAAAATAATCGAGTTTTTGAATTCTCAATGAGTTGACAACTTTTGGTTACATTGCACTGAAGAATTATAATTCTGAGAATTATGAGAAACAATCATTTGCTTTTCTATTATATTCTGAAACATATTCAACTACCTACAAAAGTAATAATATTTTGGTCGCTTCCTCCAGATTGAGGAACTATTAATATAGTTACTACTTCTCGCACGAAAAAAATCAATTTATGAATCAATGATCTCAGCAACAATTAGATGATCATTTGGCTCCAACAGATTCCTAAAGTCATACTATTTTTTCTTAAGAACTAATCAATTGAAATCACATTAGTTAAAGTCTCAGTCAAAGCACTCTTCATTTATGAAACGAAGAGATAACTTCGTTAAAATTCTATGAAACACCAGCCAGATGCATTATCATCAATATCATTGTTAATGTCAGCGATATCGTGATAGAACTACTAGAGCTTCCACCAGATCTCGGTTGAGGTTCGGCTCCATCCAGCATATCGTGATGATCACCTGGAATTCACAAGATTATTATTATCTCATGCTGAAAAGGGTTTTAGCCTGAAGTATGGAATCATTCATATATTATGTATATCGTAACTGAACATTTATGATAGTAAAGTGAATCTGAAGTTCATCAAAAGAATGCCAGAATGATAATTTATTTATATTTTCTCTAGTATATATCATTGATATTCATGTACCATTCATGGAGGAAATATGGGAGGTGCATTGTTTAGTTTTTCATTGTGAAATTGTTTTGCAAAACATTGCTCTCCTCCCTTCTTCCCTGTATGGTCATATTGGTCATCTGTAAAGTACGTGATACACTGGAAGAATGTTTATTCTTAGAGTATCGAACAAATTTTTCCATATAGTCCAGTATATGAAGGTCAGAAACCCCCGCAACTTTGACATATCAGACAGATCTCAAACTTTTTTTCTCAACTTGAAACTTTCTGAAAAAATATCCACCGGCAAATGACCAGTACGGCGAGAGAATGGCCAATGATCCCGAAAATCGTTTTTTTGAAGTTCTGGTTCCCACGAAAAGGGATATCCTGAAATGTTCAGAGAACATCTTGAGAACCAAGGGGAATAAGGTAGGAATTGGTGTTCTTATTAAATTTCTGGAGGTTGTATGCCTCGGGAAACAACTCCCATGGCAATGTGTTCCAGAGCCTCACTGTTCGTTGGATGAACAAGTATTTGGCAGGAGATGTTCTGCAGGTCTCCAAAGTGACCACGAAGGGGTGCGAAGCCTCAACTCGACGGGTTAATCTCGCGGGGACTGCCAAGAGAGGAACAATTGTTGATATTTCAGAGGAGCATTGCCCATGACAATATCTATAAAATAGAGCCAGATCGCCAACTTTTCTACGGTGTTCCAGAGTAGTGAGTGAGTTTGTGAGCGAGGCATCCCCCACGAGGCGAATTCCCTTTTTTTGGACAGAATCCAACAGTTTCAGGGTAGGTATGTTTAGGGTCCCTTGATGTAAACTGACGTATTTGTCATCTTAACAGGGTACGGACAGATCCTCGTCTCCTCTCACTCTAAAGTGTTTGTGAAACAGTTATATAGTTCCATCTTTATTCATTTCTGGGGATAAACACTAGATTTTTGGCATTTGTTGTTTTTCAGGTTATATTGAGGTCACTGGCGTATCATACGTAATTTCCATATGGAATTCCTGATTCAACTATACCAAAATATAGATGAACAATCCTCTAGTTTTAGATTTTACTATACTCCAGCATAATTTTTGAGAGGTAGCTAAGGAAACATGAATTTTACTGAAAGCTCAATATATTTCACCGAAAGAGACTGTTCTTAGACTGTATACAAGGGTTGACTGAATTGACTGAATGAATTCTGATTTCAAACTGAGCAGTAGTTTATCTATGAGCTGAATAAGCTGACCCTTATGATTGAGAAATGGTGAAAACCTCGATGTGAATATCTAAACTACTGTACTCATGTAATGTGTGCTAAATATATTTTCGGAAATCCAACTCGAAGAATTTATGGAGTGACTAATATAAACTATGTATAAAACTTCGTCTAGGACGAAAGGTAGGCTGATAAAAAGTAATACGTAAAATGTGCAGGGAAATAAAGAATAATATATACTTCACTCCCATGTTATACATGTGATTCTTCCGTCTTCCTTAAATAAAAAGTCATTTTCTAATAATTTTTTGATGAAAGTAACAAACAAGTAGGTATACGCAGTATAACTTATAGGCACGTTATTTTCACTCTTGCATTCTACATTTTTTCCATTTGTGATAGAGTAGTAATTATATAAACTAATGTCTTTCGCCATATTGGATCCGTCGTCATCTTGGATCAATCATTATCTCTTACCCCGAAAACCCTCAGATATCAATTTTGAATAGAATCGGATCTTTATCACAAAACTTGTTCGCCATATGATCTTCCTCAACAATTAAATACCCTGTACATACCTATTATTAAAATTTCGAATGATTTTCTGTAGCGCCCATGGATGTGACGTGACAGCAATGTCAGGGATGCCAGTAGACAAAACTAAAGTCTCTAGATCATTAAAAAAGAATGCAGCTATGATCTGTCCGTACCCTGTTAAGATGATTTTAATGTCAATTTCCATCAAGGGACCCTAGGTATGTTTGGGTGCTGCACTTTAAACATGACAACACTATTCCAGGACAGGTTGGATCTGTGCCTTATAGATCATAAGCAGCTGACTGGAAGTGAAATAGCTCCTGGCCCGAAACAGAAAACCAAGTTTTTGGGATGCACTTTTAGCAATTGATCTCACGTAATTTTCCCAAGAAAAGTTATTGCTGATAGTATTCCCAAGCATCGATATGGATGTCTTCAAAGGTATGGTTACTCCTGACAAGCTTATGTTGGGCACAGTGAAATCGGCTTTTCTAGAGAAAAGGCATGCTTGTGTTTTGTTTGCATTGAAATCTACCAAGTTATTGGATCTCCATTCGAGAATTGTTGCCAAGTCCATATTTATGTTGTCAACATTTCTCCCTCGTTCGTTTTTGATTTGCCTGGCTGGAATTGGAGCCCTGGAAGAGAAGGTGGTATGGAGGGTACTATCATCCGCGAAGCTGTTTACTGGACATAAAGTTGCTTCCATCAAATCGTTGATATGGAGTAGAAATAGTGTTGGTGCTAGAATTGATCCTTGCGGAACACCAGCATTTATGATGAGAGAGTCAGATGAAACTCCGTCGACCACTATAGAGAGAGACCTGTTTGAGAGAAAACTAGCTAGCAGAGAACATAGCTGGGGAGGCAAGCCATAAGATGGAAGCTTGGCGAGTTGTTGATTTCTTCCGAAAACAAAGTGATACGTCAAAAATGCAAGGAATGAAGGAAGTTCATTTTTGATGACAGAACTAGATTAATTGTCGCGCACTATTTTTAATAGAAATTTGAACTGCAACAGTATAACACTCCAGTGGAGTGCGGTAGTGTAATGTTATTGTAAACGCACGATGTTACAACAGTAGTTATATCATTTTTCAATCCCCTATAATTAGTAAAAATGCCTATGAAAAAAATGTTGGAATCCAATAAATAGTTAACGAATTATATGAATGATTCCATACTCTTTTTATTCACTCTCTTTCACTCAACCTCCAACATTCATTCTATTATATTATTCAATTGGTGTATGTAAATTAACTAAAACAAACAGAATGATTCGTGGAACATATAAATAAGTAACTGAAAATTATTATAATATTTTGACAACAAACGAATTTCATGCAGCAGAAATATTCTACAAATGAAGGAGTCAAAACCGCTAGGGAACAAAATATTAAAATATAAATATATATATAATGTTAATGAAGATTCCAATATTACTGCAGTAATTATTATGTCATACCTCTCACGACTACGGCATAATAATAAACCTACAACAATTTCAGAATAGACCCCTCCATTTGTAAGACTTTAACAAGAAAATAGTCACACTGTAGTAGGGCTGCCGTCTCATTAGTGAATAGTAGTTGTTGAATGGAGTACGATTTAAATTATACTAAGCCATATCCACTATAGGAAATCGATAGTTGTGGATCATTCTGATAACCTGACTCATACAATTTCAAACCAAAGCAAATCATGAAAAGTTTTATCAATATATGTATAAATGGCAGTACGTTATTTGTTTTGTCTTCATCACACTAATTTCGTCGCACGAGTTTTTTATGCTTTGAACAATTTGAATTCGAATTACACTGTTCGCTGGCCCAGTCCTTCAGCTATAATCTCTTACTTCTTCAAAACATGAGGTTCTCCATATAAAATCACTACAGAGTGTCACCTGAAACTGTGAAAAATTTCGGAATTTTCCAAAGAATCCCAAATGAACAGAAACTTTTTTTTTCAACTTTGACAGTAGAGGCATGAAGATGATCTCATTACCTAGGGACATTTTTCAAATTGTCTCCTTATCTCTTTTATTTACAGAGTGATCCCAAAAAAAAACTCTCTGGTTTTGCAGTCATAATTTTTTTCCTTGTTGTAATAATTCCTTAATCAAACGTAATAATTCCTCAGTAAAACGACGGACTTGCTTCACTTTCGAAATATGTCATTTACTCTGTTTTCATTATAACTACCATTATATACAAGGTATATCAAATAATATCAACACTTGTCAACCCGTTCTTAAAATCTCATCTTGAAGCTGAAACTTCAGATGAAAAGATATGAAGATCAGAATTGACTCAAGATGAACATTATACAGTGTGTGTCACTTCTAATGGAAGCACCCCTGTATGTTTCGTAATTGTTGAGTTAGGATTCTGAAACTTACAGGAGCGGGAGATATACTGAAAATGAACACTATGACCAAGTGGAGTCATCTCCAGTGATAAACACTGCTCGCCAACATCCATGAAACCACCCAAATTTCCGGAAAATGTTATCAGGAGCCAAGACAGGTTGAAAATCACTTCGGATTCGAAATCAGGACGTCCAATTCACTGACTATACATATTTTTCCAGAATAATTTTCAGTTCAGAAATTTTGTCTCACTTCTCATGGAAGCACCCCCGTATCTGACGTAATTATTGAGGTAAGGTTCTGAAATTCTCAAGAGGAAGGAAAAGGGGCGTCCTGATTTTGAATCCGAAGTGATTTCCAACCTATCTTGCCCCCTTATATCATTTTTGTGGGTGGTTCCATGGCTGTTGGCGAGCAGTGTATATCTTTAGAGACGACTCCACTTGGTCATAGTGTGTATTTTCAGTATATCTACCGCTCTTGCAAGTTTCAGAATCCTAACTCAACACACACACACTGTATAATGTTCATCTTGAGTCAATTCTGATCTTCATATCTCTTCATCTGAAGTTTGAGCTTCGAAATGATCCTGAAATTTCAAAAATCGGTTGACGAGTAAAAAAGTTATGACTGCAAAACCAGAAGGTCAATTCTCGAGATCCCTCTGTGAATAAAAGAGATAAGGAAACAATTCGAGAACTGTTCCAAGATACTGAGATCATCTACATGCATTTATTGTCAAAGTTGAAAAAAAAAGTTTTTCTTCATTTGGGATACTTTTGAAATTTCCGAAATTTTGCCCAGTTTCAGATAACACCCTGTAGCGATCTTTTGTGGAGAACCTTATGTTTTTCAGAATCACGAGATTATAGCTGAAGGACTGGGCTAGCGAAGGTTCAGGACTGTCCTAGAATATTCTAGAATATCATCGAATCTCACATAGGGTTCGAGAAATGTCTGGAATATTGGTTTCAGAATCTTCCATTATGTTCCTATATTCTAGAATGTTCTAGAATAATCTAGAATTTCACGGTAGGATCTGCATCTGGATCTGGTTCTCTTCACAATTGGTTTCAAGAAAAAGTTACATCACGATTTGAATGTGAATAAATGATGTCTGTCATCTTGTTTTATGATTCTTCTGAATAAAAACAAAAATATAGAGGTAGCATTGATAACCCCTACTATAGGTGACTACTATTATGTTAAGTGGCTGAAGCTAACGATATGATGTGATAATAAATGAATAGACAGCACATACTTATAAAAATGGTTTGCAGCTGGGCTTCACTGCCTAGGGAACTGTCGGTAGTGTTCTGTAATAGGCGTTCACAATTACAAAAATTGCACTCAATAATATTCTACTTCTACCCAAGCGGATACCAACGAGTTATATAATATAAGCATTTTACTTGCATTCACCATCAAAGATTATCAGATAGATTCAGATAGCATTTGAAACTAAAGCTGCAACTATTATATAATGGCATCAGCACTTCTGTGCAACAACTTCTCTTTCACTCACGGAGCTGATTAATTTATACCATGGTATATCCAAAGGTTCCTATATTAGGTTAAATCTGGTAGAACTCCTTAACATGTTGACTGCTGAAGCGTTTTTACGTTCAGGCAGCAGGGATAAATCGTCATTCTCTGAGCCATGATGCGCAGAAATAGTTATCGACGAATGATGGAATACAACTGAAGAAATTTTCAAATTTTCATCAGCCTTTCAAATAAAATCGTGGAAAAGTGTCTCGGTCATATTTAGTGAGCCGGCGTTTTGAGGACGTTTGTAAAATATTCCATGTTTGCATTAGTTCATCTATTTATCTTCAAATTGAAATATTTCGTGTTTTTCTTATGAACTCTTTTTTTGCAATTACATTACCTCGTTGGTCCCAGCACTGGGACCAAACGCCCCATAAGTCGAAACTTGTGCGGGGTTTGGTAAGCATACAAACACAAACATCCATGGCCCAACTAGGATTCGAACCCATGTCTCGGTGGGAGTCCCCATACGAACTCAGCGCATTCACGCTCTCGACTCACAATAATCAAAACTACCATCATCGACTACTTATAGTTTTCAAATCTAATCTGCGACTCTTTTGTCGATAAATTCGATATTTCCTGTAACTATGTCCCGGTCTTTCAGACAGTGCTGTCATTGCTAGAAATTTTATATTTCATGGGAGATGAAATTCTGTGAAATAATAACACAATTAAGTCATTGTGATATCAGATACGGAAATAAAATTGATGACATACAAAGTATACCTCATTGATTTATCGAACACAGTAAAACATGAACAATTTTGTGTTACAGCCGTAGAAAAACTATTCTCTCGGTTTGCTTATGGCTTGACCGAGACAGCAATCAACGTCTCAATGTACTTTACACTCAACTGGTGTAGTAGCAGTTTTGAGTCTGCTGCTGCTGATGCTATTCCCATGGAACTCTTTTACATAGAAGCTGGTTAACCTACTTCATATAACGGTTTTATCATCAGTATTGATGATTTCAGTACACATATACCTAAGTGTGAAAGCACAACCTATGAATGATATCAGTTAAAACTGACAGTAACTACCAGTAAACATATGGCTGGGTAGAACCTTTCATTAATTCTATCAATCTCTAAGGTCCGGTTCATGTCCGGTCACATAAAGCACTCGACAGACGCAATGTCGGCTAAATGAGAAAAGAATCTAGTCAGCTCTAGCCCTCTACGCCAGAGCTGACTAGATTCCCTTTTTTTTCCTCGTTAACTCAACAGAAAGGTTTTTAGGTATGTAACATGGCCTCTCAATTTCCATATCACTATCGAATCGACTAATAATTATTAGAAGATGAATATCACCTTCCATTATAGTTGCATGATGGAATAACAACGAAATGGTCTTGATTAAATCGAAACGACCTGAACGTACAGTATGGAAAAATTCTAGAGTTTATGAATATTTCAAATCCAAATTTTTTAATCGAGAATTCGGACATCTGATTGTTTCACAAGTATGATCGACTTGAATATCCCATCAACCATAAAAAATACCAATTATGAAAAGACATAATTGAGTGGGTAGGTATCTTCCCAGCGAGCACAAAAACTTCTCAGAGATGTTGAAAGTACGAGATTTCGAGACATTGAACCTCCACTGCGATGTTCTGTTCACACATGAATAGAACTATTATAGAACAGCCAATGTCCGCCGCAGGCGGCAATTATCGAGATGACCTTGATATGTCACAAAACTACCTTCTCCCTAGTTCTTTTTGAAGCCTTTTCATGGACACAACAGAACATTTTCAACGCGTCTTGCGCACATTAAATCGCTGTAAAAAAACCATTTTCGAGGTACTTTTCTGAAGCCTTTTGTCAAAATGAACTTTTGCATTAGGATTCCATTTCCCTTGAATGAAAAAATGCATTAAAAATAGATTGAACATAAAAATATTTTCTTGATATGAAATTACCTTCTTAATCGGTTTCTGAGTAGTGCTTACTACACACAGACATATAATTGGAAATAGGTTTCCCAATTTTTGAAATGTTCTCCACAATGCATAATTTTGCAACTGCGGAGAAGCTGTGTATTGATGGATTCTTACTTTTATATATTGATTACACTGAGGCACCGAACAACACATCTTGCATCTGATGGTCATTATTACAAACTAAATGAGTCTTCTAACACAATAAACTTCACCAAATTCCTTTCTGTTCGTTAGCAGCACGAATGCCAATTGCGAACAAGAAGAACAAAATCGAAAACAAATCAGAATTCATCGTATTGTGACGTAAGCATGAGACGTTGTGGTGGGGCAAACAAAGAAAGGGTACAAAAGAACAACTACAATACTTTCAATATCCTTCTAAGACCTCTTCGGGAAGTGCATATCACGCCTCAAAAAAACATCCTCATGCCTACATTTCTAAAACATCCCAAAACATCCCAGGGATACCTCTCAGTAGGCAAACAAAGAAATGCCACAGAAGAACAAAAACAATACTTCAATATCCTTCAAAGACCTCTTTAGTCAGTGCATATTACGTCCCAGGGATGTTTGTGCTCGCTGGGTTAGATCTGGAGAAATAATAGATATCTGAAACTATCTGATGCAATAAGGACGACAGGAAACATTATGGTAACATTGGTAACCTGATATATGTTCAAACAACTATGCATAACTGAACTAACTATGTACTCAGGTAAAAAAAACAGATCGTAATATAAGTACATGCCCGTGCCCGTGCTTGCAAAACAACAAAAGCCGTGCAAACTATAAGCACATTCCTTATTTGGCGATGTTAGTCAAATGAGATGTGTTGTGAGTTTATCTTCAATTGAAAATATGTAGAAATCATCTTTGATGAACAAAATGAAACTCAATTGAAAATTGATCTGTTACTCACGTCAACTCATTCGTTCATTACTCTTTGCTATTCTACATAATGTTTCAATTGGAAAAACTCCTACAACTAGAAAGTGAAGTTAGGCACAAAGCGTTCAATTTACAGCATGCGAAATCATGTCGTAATACATACTTGATGAAGAGAGCTTGGTTATGCTTATTGGCATGATGATACTCATTTTGCAACCCCTATAATATAAGCTATCTGGCTGAAATGATGTTATGGTAATCAATGGAATGCGAATGAGGTATATATATTTCATTTCATTTGGAAGTGGGTGAAGAAGTTCAAAATTAAATCACGTGATCACTCATTGAGTTGAATGCATAGGTATAATAGATTATAGATTCCTGACTCTATCATGATGTCAGATGTTGAACATTATATTATTGATGATCTGATAACTAATGATTGCTGCTCTAATATCATGAGGATAATGGCTGTGAATGTGAATCAAATGATCCCTGAATATGAACGAACTGAATCTACTATTCATTCATCTTTGAAACTCCACCATAAATATTTCATTCGAATTAGCTCCACTATTCGATATCACAGCAACTTGTCAAGGATTGATGGGTGACTCAGTTGGTTCACATTTCAGAAACAAGTCGAGATCTGTCCATTATTATAAGTCTTTCAATCCTTCCTACCTGTATCCTTATTGGCATCATCTATGTAATTATATTTGTTTGAGCTCTCTTCATCAACCAACCATCCATTAGACTCACTAGTGCCAATGGTGCCTTTGGGCGCCTCTTTGCAACCAAACCACCAATAGGCTGTCGATCTGGGGAAGGCGGGATTTGTTGCGTCAACAGAAAATGCTCTATCGTTGAACCTAGAAAAAAAGTGAGTCAACCTCTAATAACATACAATGTCCGAAGAACATCTCTTGCAACTTTCATCCTTGAGATTCATTCTCAATAGTCCAGTTGGAGATCTACACCGGACGTTTCAATCGATATATCTCATAGGAGTTCCCTATAAGGACATATTTGTGTAACGAAGCGTCATCTTTTGTGGAGTTTTTTACATTTAATATGGATTGACTTGAAGTAGCGGCAGAGTCAATTCTAAAATTGTGTTCTAGATGAGTGAAAATATACATCAATATGTCCGTCATAATATCGTTCTTGTGGAGTTTGTTTTTGTTATGTCCGTTGTTTTTATATCTTGTCATACATCACATTGCAGTGATGGCGATCATTTCACTCATAAGACCTCCAATGAGACTCGAAATCATTATAATTGAAAGAAAAATCCTTGCTGTTGATGATCATCGTCAGTGTTTGAAGATGAATCTCGTATCAAATGAACAATCATATTGATCTCTCGTCATCAGTATTTTAATCAACAATTTGATGACCACAAACGGTTAGTTTCATCGCAAATGACCACCTTTACCAACCCAGTTTTTGTATACATTGCTGTCATGAACGTCGAAAACCTATTACATCAGTGACTCGAATAAGGAAGTATTATTATGATGATTATAGACAAATCTACAGAATGTTCTCACAGGACGTCTGGAATATCACTGTTATTTCTGAATGATCGGCAAACCCGCAACGTCCACAATTTCTTTTTCAAATCTATGATAACTAACAAACTCTGTGGAATGAATAATTAAAATATAATCACCTATAGTATACGTCATTCTTGAAGAAATAAGTATAGCCGTTGGTCCACTGGAAAGCAGCATCGAGTTTATCAGGCACTCCGTCCCAGTTTTTGATTGGCTTAGGGTACGTTGATTTTACTGGTGGTCTTTGAGTGGGGTCGAACCTCCAGAATTTACTGCCTTTATAGAAGTAGATTTTTCCGTTGCCACTCCATACCAAAGCCGCGTCTAAATCATCAGGGATCCCTGTGAAGCCTTCGGAAATATCCTTGGGGTAAGGACCATCCATTTTCTTGCCCTTATACCTGAAAATATCGAAATTCAATAGAATCTCATATGTATAACTATATATAGGAAATGTCATGTATATAGCTATTTATGTTTATGGAATTTCCTATTAAAAGAGACCAAAGTCGAGGATAGCAAAAACTACACTTTTTTATAAGCTTTGTTTATCTATAGGCGACGGTGTTCGCGAAGTCAGTTGTATTCGACACTTGAATAAATACGCATAATAATATATTTAAGTTCGTGTTTTAGTATCCCATTATGCAAATTCATAATTCGACGAGGAATCGCGTAATCTTCGCGGGAGTGCCTGGATAGTGCTAACAAAATTGTGAATCATATGACTGAAACGGCAGTTTTGGGCACCTTAGGCTCGTTAACAGTATTCGATCCGAAAACTTCAGATTTCATAGTTTTCATTGAGCGAATTGAGCAATTCTTCATTGCCAACCGGATTGAAGACGGAAGTCGAAAAAAAGCTATTCTTCTGAACACATTATCCGAAGATTGCTACGTGTTAGTGAGGAGTTCGTGTGTGCCGAACTTACCAGATACAGAAACGTATAAGGAGCTGATAAACATATCAACCGGGCATTTTTCACCGGTGAAGTCCTACTTTTCAGAGCGGAGCAGAAATTTTACTCAGCACGACGGGGGCTCAACGAAAGCGTGTCGGAATGGGAGGGCCGAGTAAAGAATTTAGCATCAAATTGTGTCTTCGGGACCGAACTTCACGTCGTGATGAGAGATTTGTTTGTTATTGGAATCAATGAGGAAAGATTCATCGACAGACGCTTTGAGGAGGACGCCTCCAGTCCAACAGTAACTTTACAAACGATGGTGAAAGTAGCTTCAGCTGGAACATTCCTCTCACAGAGAAAATTATGGAATAGGATCTCATGGAATTAAAACTGAATCCGACATGAATTTCCATAGTCAACAAGGTATGCCGAAAAAGCACCAATAAAATCAGGAAATAGGAAGGCCATGGACCAATACTACATCACACCAAGGTGGAGTATCCAGAAATATCAACCTTGGAAAGAGGCTGAATCGGAACCAGGGGGTAAGCAACCAGAAATCTCCAAAACAATGAACAATGCATTGGAATTCTTTGACCCCGAAGGGACTATTACCAAGAATTCATAATCCTCAGGAATTCAGAAAAAATCCAATAGCTACCCCCTTTCCCTTTCCTTCCTAGGTACGTACGATGATCTTTGAACATTATAGAGATCCTCATTTGGGCGCTCCAAGTGATAAAAAAGGCTGAAGAACGTATCAATCATTATGATGAATGTTTTCATTCTGAGATTTGCAGATGTAATTTAAGATCTGGTGACCTATCTACTCCACTCACTGTGTCCACCGACTGGGTCGCGGTGTCAGTATAATAATGAAAAGGAACTCCTGAATTCATACTCACTTCTGATGTTGTTACCGTTGACATCTAGTTTCACATTTGAATTCTAACTATATATACACATTCGGTCGCTTCAATGTTGTTGATCAACAGGAGCAGAGACGAGCAGATGGAAAACATAATAATATTTGATAAATTGCACTGTAAAAAAGTCAGCGACCTTTTACTTTTCTATAGATACTTCCACGGAATATGTTCCTCAGAAATACCTGCCATAATTCGAATTCGAACTCAAACTCAATAGGCCCAGTCAGCACATCCTTTCGTTGTCAACCTTGGAATATGTCGAACAACAGTTTACCAAAAGTCGTTCCTCTATAGGACGGCAAATCTTTGTAATTCTTCGATAATGGGAGTATTCCCAAGAACTCATAACCTCCAAAAGTTGTTGCACGATGGTGTTCGAACATTATAGAAATGTCCTTTCATGCGCTCCAAGAGATGAAAAACTGTAGATACGGGTGATTGTTGAAAATACCAGAAGTCAGCGATGATTCTTGGGAATGTTTTGAATGACCAACACCAGTACAGTTCAGTGGGCCGGGACCATATACTTTCAGTATTTCAAAACACACAAAACAATTCCGTGGACAAACAATCAATGAAATAACACCCCTCCTTTGAGAAATACCGAAACGATTTGGATAAAACTTGGTATGAAAGATCAATGAAAAGTATATGACTATTGGTCCAACGGAGGATTTCCTTTATGAATCACCATAAGACTTCTTGAATTTTCCTTATTTCACATATCACATTCGAAGAAAATTTCACCACTAGTGTTCATGGGTAGTTGACCAAAAAAAATTGCCAAAACTTGTGCATCACCTATCAAAAAGTTCCAGTCACAAACAGAGAACACGTGAAAGTCACTGTTTGTTGGTAGAATACCATCAGTTATAAATCATATCAGCGAACAATTTTACTACTATTTGCGATAGTTACCTGAAATTATCAGTATTTCGAGTTGCTGTTCAACCTGAAAGAGCAATTCCATCTTAAACGTAAGGTACTTACTGATGGAAAAACATTTATATGTTCGCCTCTATGGAACCCTCTTGAGTAAAGCTATAGAAAATCAAATTTTGACAAAACGAAAAAAATTATCCTCAGACGATGCAGTGAACTTTTGGCAGCAACATTTTGTAAGACTCTCTATAAGTATATATTCTCCAAACAGAATTTCAATATTCAACTTTCACTCATTGCAATCCGATTAGTAGACGATACGCCTCTCAGAAATGAGAATGATATTCCACGAAAAATGTCTCACCTCCAGTATTTCGATCCTTTGAAGAAGTAAGTCTTTCCATTCTTGTAGGTGAAAGATGCATCAATATCTCCTGGCAATCCGATCCAGTTATCAGCAATGAGTTTCGGGTACCCAGGAGCGACACTATCCTCAGTCAACCTCCAGTATTTGTTGCCCTTGAAGATGTAAGTATACCCTTCGGCTGAATTGAAGATCGTGTCGAATTTAGAATCGCTGCAGAGGCTTTGATCAGAAGCACTAGGTGTCCTGCTTGGCGTGTCGTGACTCTCGTCAGCTCCTGAGTAGAGAATATAGAATATTACAATGTAACCAACCAGAGAGATCAACAACTTCTTCAATTTTGGCCCATATCTACTGATCACTTCAAACTGTACCTGCTTCAAAATAGTTATTTATACACCAAGGTAGTAAAGAATATCATTGTTACCCAGGGACCGAGATTAAATCCCAAGGCTACAGCCGAGGGGAAAAAAAACAAAAAATAGTAGGCCGATTCTTATTTATTTTTTATTTGTTGGTAGGTAATGCATTTGTCTTTGAAAAAAAAAATAAAGAAGTGAAAATGTTCTCAAAGCCTCCTTGATGGTGGTGGAATAACTGGAACCATGATTTATTCTTAATTTTTGACTTACCCTGTGTGTTAATTGAGTAATGGTATACAAAGTGCTTACACCCTATACGAAAGAGACTTCTTTTGCGAGCATTTTGTTTTTTTATTCATCGATTTATCTAGAAAAATTTTGCGAATTACAGCTTTTTTGCTGAATCCTTGCAGATTACCATCTTTCTGAATTTATCGAGAAACAATTTTCTAATGAAATAAACTGATACCAATAATTTTAGAAAACATTTTTATTAAAAATTATAAATTGGTATGACTGCTCAATATCGTGTATTGCCTCCTCTAGCAACTCTAAGAACTTCTAATCTCCGAGGCATACTGGAAATTAAGTTGCTTATCGTTTCCATTGGTATACGATCCCATTCTTCCACTAATGCATCTGCTATTTCTGCGAGACTTCCCGGAGACATCTCGCAAGAACGTACCTTTCTTCCTAATTCATCCCACAAATGTTCTATAGGATTCATATCGGGGCTTCTCGCAGGCCATTGTAATGTGGTAATACCAGTAGCTACTAAGAAGTTTCGCACTATTGCTGCGGTGTGTGGTCGGGCATTATCCTGCATCAATATAAAATTATTGCCCACTAACTCTGCATAAGGTGAGACATACTGCTCTAAAATGTCAATGTAAATTTGGGCATTCATCGACTGTCTCACCGGAAAAACATGAAGGGGTGTCTTTCCATTCATTGAAATCCCTCCCCACACCATAACGGACCCCCCATTGGAACTTTCACATTCTGTTATTACATTTTGATTAAACCGTTCACCAGTTCTTCTCCACACTCTTTTTCTTCCATCCACCATGTCAAGGCAAAACCTTGCCTCATCCGTAAACAATACATTCGACCATTCAGGAATATTCCACAGTCCATAATTTTCAACAAAATTCCTTCTAGCAGCACGATGTTCGGGCAATAATTTGGGACCTTTTGCAGGTCTCCTAGCTTTTGAATTAACTTCTCTAAGACGTCTAGATACCGTCTGCTTACTTACTGCAACATCACGAATTTGGCGAAGATCTTGCTGAATATTTACCGCAGTATTTGATCAATTCCGTAAAATCCGCAATCTCAAGAAGCTATCATCTCTTGGAGAAGTTTTTCGGGGGCGACCAGAACCGACCCTCCGAGCGGTGCTTCCTGTTTGTTCGTACTTGCGGATTGCTCTATGAGCAGTTGCTTCATGAACTCCCACTGCACGAACGGCGTAACTTTTACTACAACCATCGTTTACTAACGCAACTAATCTTGCTAATTGTTCAGGATTTATTTGAGGCATTTTATGTTATTTTAGTCAATAAAACAAGACACCTAATTAATGACACAACGACAAATGGTCAAATATGGAGGTATACAACGAATTAGTTGCGATGGCAAAGGCATTTGTTTTTTCAAAGACAATGTGATCATACCAACAAATAAAAAAAAATCGGCCTACTATTTTTTTTTTTTAAGAAGGTAGGTCAAATATCAAGTGCGTCACTTTTTTTGGAACTGAGTGTAGATTGTTAATCGAGCACGAAATGATAGTGATTTCCTACGAAAATGAAGTTTGCAGCATAAGTTATAGGAGGATGCTGCAATCATACGAGTAGGAAAATAGCATTCCGTGCAAGTTATAAACTATAATTTTTCTACGGCTATAATAGATATGGTACTTTCGATTCCTTCGTCTTGTAGCCATCTGCTTTCCTGTCAAGTAATGCTCATCTATCAAACAGAGCTGTCACTGCTTGAATCTTGACATTCCATGAGCGATGAGATTTTCTTGATATAATAACACAATGGAGTCATCGTGATATCCAGATAAGGAAATAAAATTGATGACATATATGTACCTCATTGATGTATCGAACACAGTTAAACAAGAGCAATCTTGTGTTATGCTTTCGCTCGGCTTCGCTAAATGCTCCGCCTCGCAAATGCAAAATTCGCTTGTCAAACAAACTGTCACTTTTGATCCTAATAAAACAATATACTATTACTCACCTCCTTCTTGATCATCGTCGTCTCCGAAACGTGTTCCTACAAAGTTCTTCGTTTTCTTTCCATAGAGGGCTTGGATGCCGTCTATATCGTCCGTGTCCAGATTGAAGACAGGGTCGTAGCCTCTGTAGAACGGAGCCATGAGCGCTTGTCTGATGTCAGAGTGACTTAGGCCTAAGGAATGGCCGAATTCGTGAGCTGCAACTTGGAATAAGTTGGTGCCGCGGTAGCTGTTTATCGACCACGCTTCGGATGCATCAAAGTGTGCGTCGCCACCAAATACCTAGAATCAAAGTCGAAAATTGCTCTATTGTTAAAGAATAATATATTAGATAAGTACTATCAGAGGTTTTTGAAAGAATTCTATACAATTAGGTGAATGAATTCTTTATGAGCCACAATATTATACCACCAATACAATCCGATTTTAAAGACGGTTACAGTACCACAACAGCACTCACAATGATAGTGGATGACATTTTCCGGGCATGGAAAAGTCACGTGCTTACTTCTACTGGACTACAGCAAGGCATTTGACACTATAGATCACAACGTTTTCCTCGACAAACTGGGTTATTTGGGCTTTGATGAAGATTCTGTTCGGCTGATAGAGCGTTACTTGAATTGAAGGAGTCAGAAAGTCGTTTATGACCTGAAGATTTCAAAACCTCTGACACTGAAATCTGGTGTACCGCAAGGATCCATCTTAGGACCCCTGTTATTTTCTATTTATATTTCGGACTTCCACTCATATGTTTCGCATTGTAACATACACCATTATGCAGACGACACACAACTATATATATCATTCGATGTAGAACAACCTGATAGAAACTTATATTGAACGCAAAGAAGTCAAGTGTTTTGTTTTTTGGACCAAAGCATAAACGTGAGCTTGCCAGTACTTCCTCAATCATCGTCATGGGCGGTAACACTGCACTAGAAATTCACGATTGCTGACCATCTATAAACATAAGACGTCTACCTTTCAACTGTCCTTTACGTACAATGCCTGTAAATCATATAATCAATTACCCAATGAATTTTATGACTATAGTATTTTTAATTCCAAAAAGAAGTTGAAATCATTATCTATAGATATACACAAATTGGATCTTGATGAAATTAATTGACTCCTCCTATGGTTAATGCAGTCATGGCAAACAGTTACCAACATTATCCTAGGACTGAAAACCCTGGAGAAATGGTGAATATATTCCATCATAGCATTCGTAGATAGATTCCCAATATGTTTTGAACCTTGTACCTACATGAATTTCGACACCCACCTGAAATTTTCAATGCATTGTGTATCTGAATGTAATAGCAAAGTCTCTTCACATAATCCTCAATTTTTAGATTTATCTAACAAAAGTTCGAGAATTATTAGATTAGGTACAATATTTTCAGCAACCTCAGCAAGTAACTCCTTTACCACTGCTTCCTGAAGATGTAGATATACTACTACCAAATGAATTATGACGACGTTACGCTACAATAGACAGAATCGAAAACTAAATGAAATGAGCATGCGCCAAAAATAATCCTAGAACGGTTCATGCGCGAGAGAAGGTACTGGTTCCGGATAGTTCTAGGACCGTCCCAGAACGATTCTGGAAAAACCCGAACGCGTAAAGAGCCAGTCCTAGAACAGTTCCACAAAACCCGAACGCGACCGACTCAACTGCGCAAACTCCTGACAGTTCTACAACCGTAATAGTTCGAATCCGAATGAACCTATTCATTTCGATGCTTGGTATCACTATCAGCAATAACCTTTCTTGGTAAAATCACGTGAGATCAATTGCTAGAAGTGCATCCCAAAAACTTGGTTTTCTGTTTCGGGCCAGGAGCTATTTCACTTCCAGTCAGCTGCTTATGATCTATGAGGCACAGATCTGACCTTGCCTGGAATACTGTTCCCATATTTGGAGTGCAGCACCCAAACATACCCTGAAGCTGTTTGATTCTGTCCAAAAAAGGGCAATTCGTCTCGTGGGTGATGTCTCGCTCACAAACTCACTCACTTCTCTGGAACACCGAAGAAAAGTTGGCGATCTGGCGCTATTTGATAGATATTTTATGGACGATACTTTTCTGAAATATCAATAATTTTTCCTCCCTTGGCAGTCCCCGCGAGATTAACCCGTCGAGTTGAGGCTTCGCACCCCTTCGTGGTCACTTTGGAGACCTGCAGAACATCTCTTTCCGAAGACTCGTTTATCCAACGAACAGCGAGGCTCTGGAACACATTGCCAAGGGAGGTGTTCCCTGAGGCATATAACCTCCAGAAAAAGAAGAACACCAATTCCTACCTCATTTCCCTTGGTTCTCACGATGTTCTCTGAACATGACAGAATATTCCTTTTCTTGGGAACCTGAACATAAAAAAAAATACAAAATGGGTGGGTACTTACTGGAAAATAGGCATGAGCTAGGGTGCCACCAGGTCCGTCGAAAGGATCTCCATCGCCGTGTTCTCCCGACTCGAATCTCACTTCGATATGGACCTGTCCGGTTTTTGGGGTGAACGTGAGATCAGTGTATTCGCTCCAAACGTTGAAAGCCCTCTGGATTTCCTTGTCGACGTCGGCTCGTTTCAGTTTACTGGGATACTTCGCTATCTTGTAGGTGAGGTCTTTCACTTTCCATCTGCTTCCTAGGATAATATAATCGAAGCTATCAGAATGGAAATTAGGTGGAACATACTCGGAAACATGAAAGAACAGCCGTTTAAATAGATTGCAAGAAGCACATTTTTGCACCACAAATTCCACACCAGTATTTTGTAACAAATCAATTTGGGTTTTCTGGTCAAATTATCATAAAAACGTATGTATTTCAATGAAAATTCCATTCCATTGTAGATCTAGATGAAAACCTAGTTAGGTAGGTAGTTAGTATAGGCAGGAGCTATAATACCTCCTCGCACTAGGTCGCCTACTAGGTTTTCATTTAGATCGACAATGACCTAACGAAATTGGGTTTCTTTGACAAATAACCGTATGTATATTCCAGTAGACATTTTTTCCTCATGCGAATAATAATAGGAAATTTTCATGACGTTTTTATGACAGAATAATATTTTGACGTCCTAAAATAGTGATTTTGTGCTACTTTATGGATTTCCATCAAGTAATGGCAGAGTTAATACAAAATTTGATTGAGATATATTGAAATTCGATTTGAAAATGATTCAGATACTCATTGATTTTATCGGAAATGTCCAATGGCGTGCTACTTATCTCTAGGAGAAGGATATTTTTTTTATCGCTTGGAGCACACGAAAGGAAATCCCTATAATGTTCAAAAAACATCGTGCGTTCCTAGGAAGGATAGGGACAGGAGGTAGGTATTGGAATTTTTTTTGAACTTCTGGAGATTATATGCTGTTGGGAATACTTCCTCAGGCAATGAATTCCAGAACCTAGCCGTTCTATGGATGAAAGAGTTTTGATAAAGTGCTGTTCGACATTTTTCGAGTTTGACAACGAAAGGACGTGCTGACTGGGCTTGTTTAGTTCGTCTGACTGGTATTGCCGGTGAAGGGATGATAGCAGAGATTTCCGAAGAACATTTCCCGTGGAAGTATCGAAAGAAAAGTGAAAGGTCGCCGACCTTTCTACGGTGTTCCAATGATGTCAAAGAGTGAGTGAGTGTGGCGTACCCACCAGGCGAATGGCTCTTCTCTGGATGGAATCTAAAAGCATCAGCGTATGTTTTGGTGCTGAACTCCATATGTGGGAACAGTATTCTAGAACAGGCCGTATCTGCGCTTTGTAGATCATGAGAAGCTGTTGGGGTATAAAGTAGCTTTTCGCACGGAACATTAGTCCGAGTTTTTGTGAAGCAGCTTTTGCGATGGATCTGACATGATTATCCCATGAAAGAGTGTTGCTGATGGAAATACCGATCGTAGATATGGTGGGCTTGGTGGGGATGGCGGTGCCAGACATTACAATATACAAAATATCGTGAATAGGCGCCTATGGATTCCTGTAGGTATTCATCTATTAATTCTTGACTTTCATTGTAGACGGAGATTCACCGTAAAGTGTGCGAATTAAAAAAAAATTAAAAAATCGTGTCTCATTATCACCGTTAGAATAATATTTATTTTAAATCGAACTTCGACACCATGTAATTGAATTTTGGTGCATTATTGTAGTTCAATGTTCATGAAGAAACGTCCTTTCATTTTGCTAGTCTATACAGGGTGTCCGAAAAGATCATGTCGTAAGTGATAGGGTGATAGAGAGCCAAAATAATGCCGCTACTTCATATGGAAAAAATATCTATTTCCGATAGAGAATAACACGTCGCCCTACCTGACGGCAATTACTTGAACACTTCTGAGCAGTTTGTTTTGATAATGTGACCAATAAGCACATACAAAAATAAATGTGAAACAATGAAAACAAAGTGAACAGACTGCTTTGACAGGTTACAAGAACTTCGATAGGTGGTGTACGCTTATTTTCTATCGCGAATCGTTGCGGGGTAATTGACTTTGAAAGTCTGATGAAAAAAAATTTTTTTTCCTGTCTCGGGAAACAAGTTTGACATTTCTGTTGACAGGTAACGAAATCTCACTTTTCATAAATCACCTTTTTCCAATGGAAGAAAAATGAGTAAATTACTAAACCACTACGATTACAATTTTTTAAAATCAAAACACAGAATTGAATTGACATATATTCGATTACTTCAGAAGGTTTTCATAGCAACAATAAAGATGCCTGCGATACAGGTAGTACACCTGTTAAGAAAAAGAATATTCTGGGTGGGTCGTAAGTTATGTCGTCAATAATAGGAATTGAGCAAAATTGACAAAACAGTAATAAAACCTGTAAGACCCTACAAATATGGTGTATTCAGAACCACCTTGATGAGCTCTATACCCACCGTTGAAATTTTCAGGTTTCCCAATGGGACAATCTGTATATGATTTTCCTGATCTTTAGAATTTTCCTCGAATGAATGGAAACATCGAAGACTTCTATGAATGAATAAGTGAATTAAAATTCAGTATAGTTTGATGAAGTCTGCAACTGCATTGAAATTGTGAACTGTGTCGAGGAACACAAAATGCCAACTCTCCATTGGTATAATATATTATTCTACCTACTCCATTATTGGCACTATCGATATATGATTCATAGTCATTTGTGTTGCTGTTATCTCAGCGATAATATCGTGTCGTCAATAATGGCTGTTAAGTAGTCATATTCCATTGTTTTCATAATATAAAGGAGTATTGCTTTATTACTGGGCCTCGACTTCCATAAAAATGTTTGGTTTTTTTATGTTCTGGTTCCCACGAAAAGGGATATCCTGTAATGTTCAGAGAACATCGTGAGAACCAAGGGAAATGAAGTAGAAATTGGTGTTCTTCTTGAATTTCTGGAGGTTATATGCCTCGGGGAACACCTCCCTTGGCAATGTGTTCCAAAGCCTCCGCTGTTCGTTGAATGAAAGAGTCTTTGGAAAGAGATGTTCTGCAGGTCTCCAAAGTGACCATGAAGGGGTGCGAAGCCTAAATTCGACGGGTTAATCTCGCCATGAAAATATCTATAGAATAGAGCCAGATCGACAATTTTTCTACGGTATTCCAGAGAAGTGAGTGAGTTTGTGAGCGAGGCATCACCCACGAGACGAATTGCCCTCTTTTGGACAGAATCTAATAGTTTCAGGGTATGTTTGGGTGCTGCACTTCAAATATAGGAACATTATTCCAGGACCATTCGGATCTTTACACCAGGCCTTCGTGAAAATGTGCACCCAAAGCAATTGATTGATCTCTCGGATTATTCATAAGAGCTCATTAGTTTTCCAGAAATCCCTAATATATCTGTTCCACTGGATAATTACGAGGTGGAAACAAGAAAATAGTGGGCTCCAATTGTAACATGTGTTCTGAGCTCTACTATAGAGGGTGTTCTTTAGTGATCTGCTAATATTCAAGGGGCCGATTATTCGACCCATTTCAAGAATTATACCTCAAAATTTTCCGTCGTTGCTCACTTTTAAGTGAAATATAAACAATTATATTCTCGTAAAGGTGCCACTGGTAGAGAAAATGAAAATTTTTGAAAATCAGAAAATGCACCTTAATGCATTAAAGACGTGTACGAAATTTCGTGAAGATGTATACAATATTGTCTAAGTAATTATCAAAAATCTGAATATTTTTCAAAACTTTCATCACCCTGTATTTCAAAAGTTGATACTTTCAGGACATACGTTCATGTAAAGTTTTCTTCTTAAAATGAGTCAAAAATAATCGCCCCCTCAAATGATAGCATGTCTTTAAGAAACACCCTGTATATTCACCTACTCATGGTCAGTCATTTCCATCAGGAATCACTGTTGGTCAGTCAGTCTCAGCGTACTGAACCGTGATAAAAAATAAATGTCTCTCAATTTTTGTTTGAATTAGTGAAAGTAGCGTCATCCATGATGAGCTTCTACTGGGAAATCAGGAAAGGTATATAAGTTTGCTCAATTAATGAATGAAACCACAAACCTTTTCCTGAAGATAATCCACTATCGTCCAACCGCTTCACTATCTCCTTATTTGATGATATTAGTTATCATAGACCATATAGCTCCCAATGTGGTTAGTGAAACAATGACAATGACTGAATTCAAAGAATTTTTTTTCCTATACCATTGTGTGATAACCTATTTAGCGGAAAATATTTTAATCTTTAGTATAGAAATCCATTTTTTGTATTAGGCTAGCGCAATGCGTTGTTTTCTGGGCGTTGCCAAGGCTCCGAAATTAGGTGTTTGTGAGCCGAAAGCAATTTAGGCGTTTCTTTCACCTTTTTTGCTTTCGGACGAAAGCAAAAAAGGTGTTGGTCTTTGGTTGACACTTTTACGGTTAGAAAAACACAAACAAATACGTTTTGAGTACCTGGAGATGTCGATGTTATCAAGGCGTAAAATTGTGCTCCGCAACATTGAATATGTTGACCACAGGGTCAAGGGCTTCTTGACAGCAGAAAGTTCGGAGAAATAAGCCATAATGATGTAGTTATTTGATGGTTAAGGGTCAATGGAAAAACTGATTAGCCAAAAAACTTGAAAAACCCTCAAAACACATTGACTCACCTTGTAACGCATATCGTTTCGCTCTATCACTATTGCCTACTTTGTCTTTCACCCCACATCTGGGTAATGCCATCGTGTGTCGTGTTTCATTATCTAGTTCACCTGGAAGAAAAAAAAGGCAACATAAATTCAATGATATTGATTATATTATAAATATTATGACCCTCACTATGTCAAATCATTTGTCTAGTGCTAGTGCATATAGGTAACACCCACATCAAGTACAATTGAAAAACCTATGAAGGTGACTATCCTCATTTTTCCGGAATAATCAATATTATGTCCATTAAGATTTGATATAGCTATGCCTATATAATAATGGAACCTCTGAAGGTGATATGACACAAAAAAGTAATCATAGTACATTATGTTCAGGTCAAGGTGCCACACATCGACAATCGTTATAATATGACTATATAAACGTCAATGAAATATACAGAGTGAATCTGAATAACAAAAAATTCAAGGGATGATCCCTTGTGATATTGTAGCAAATAAAGTTCATATAAATATTTGTTCTAACTTGCTCCTTTTTGAGATACAGGATGTTAAAGTTGGAAGTATTGATTGTTTTTATTTATAATCCCCCTGTATAAGCTTTCATGGTGCCAAAATTCAGTATGGTTGGAGACTGAGGAAGTCCCAAAATTTAAAAAGGATTTCAAGGGTTTGTAGATTGTAGATGGGTCGTATAAGCTGGGAGACCTCTCGATCACTGCGACCTAGAAGATCTATTGTGATTACCCCTATCTAGTTTTGGTCCTCTAACCCTAGACTTCTGATGAAGCCTACGATTTTCCTGACGGTTGACTTTTCCACTTTAGCAGGGGTAAGATAGACCTCGAGATAGACCTGTTCTAGGTGGTTCAGCCTTTGGCGGACTAATACTTCACATGAGCAAAGTATGTGTTCCGCGGTTTCGGTCGCATTGTTACAAAAGCGGCAAGTGTCAGTCTCCGCCAGACCCATCTTTTTGAGGTGGTACCTCAGAGGGCCATGTCCTGTGAGAAAGCCTGTGATAAGCTTTAGCTCTGGTTTGCTGAGGCTGAGTAGCTCTTTGGCTCGGTTCTGCGAATGGTTGATGAACCTTTTCGCTTGTCGTTGACCTGGAGTTGCTCTCCAGTAGGACCTTTCAATTTCTTCCCATTTCCCGAGTTCTCCCTTTAGGTGACATTTGCTTATCGCACATGCAAAAAGGCTCAGGACCAAAAAGTGCAGATGCTGCACCTTTTTTTGCAAGGCGATCAGCTGCCTCATTTCCTTTGTTTCCTTCATGCCCTGGAACCCACATAAGTGTGACTTTTTTGCCCTTTCCCAGTTGCATGGGTGTTTCAAAGCAGTTCCATGTAATCTTTGATGTGAAAACGAATGATTTTAGGGCTTTTAGTGCAGCTTGGCTGTCTGAGCAGATATATATGTTGGCACCCCTCAGATCTTTGCTCAGGCACCTTTGGGCGCAGAGGTTGATGGCATGTATTTCAGCTTGGAAAATAGTGGGGGAGTGACCTAAGGCTTCAAATAGCCTACATCCGGGTCCATATACACCCGCGCCTACCCCTTCTTCCATTTTCGAACCATCGGTGTACCAAACAAGGGACCCTCTGTCCAGCTGAGGCTCAGCGGAACCGTACCTAGGGCGGCTTTTTATAACCACTTCAAAGGTATGATCGAAACTGAGCCTGGCTGGCATTATGTACGATGGTTTGGTTGCAGATTCCATTTGTACTTCTTGTAGAATGACCATGTGACCAGTGACATCACCTGGTCTGGCCAATTCAGTGGAGTTCAGTCTGTATGCACTGAGAGCTGCAGTCCTCTTGATAAAAATTTGCAAGGGTAGTAGGTCAAGCATAGCTTCCATTGCTGCAGTAGGGCACGTACGCAAGGGGTTATTGAGTAATCTCAATGGAAGTCTCGAAAACACACCTGCATTAAAATTTTGAGTCCAGTCGAATTTTTATTGTTCCCCTCAAAAATTAAGCTTGATACAAAAATACACGAAGGATAAAAAGTTGTTATTTCAATAGTTCAATCTAATAAAAATATGAAACTCAGAAGAACCGGTGGGGTACAATGACATTCACCATAAATAGAAATAAATTCACCCACTGTGACGCCACTGAAAATATTATTTCGAATCTAATTGCACCAGAAGAAGCATCATATTACTATCAACAAAACCACATCGTTTTATTGAAATTGATGGAAAGACAACTGAGTAATGAATAAAAAAACGATTTTTCATGGAAATATTAATTCCCTGTATCTCGAAAATGGATCAAGTTAGGACACATAATTATGTTTATATGAACTGTATTATCTTAAATATCACAAGGAATCACCCCATGATTTTTTTCGCTGTCATTTAGATACACCCTGTACAAAGCGAACTCATCACAAATAGTTATTTATGTATCAAGGGCGTAAAATAGGCTTTTATGGACCATGTAAGTAAAAGCCCGAGCGACAGATGGGGCTATCAACACGCCCATAAAAGGGAGTTACTCCCGAAATACATAGAACATTTTTTTGTTATAGTGTTGCTCAACCTGTCAAAGATGATTCTTATAGTTGCTATTTCCCAAAAAAATGCAATCAATAAACTCGAGTTCAGATGTTCAGAAGGTTGAGCGTGCTCTATAATCCAAAACAAGCTATTACTTCAACTGTCGTCTGTTGAGCAGTTTCCAAAAAAAGCCGTGTCGATTAGAAAACTCACCACCCTCAATATCCCCTTTCCAGTAAATAAACAGAATAATCGAAAAGATAGGTAAATTTCAATATGAAGGGGGACACTTCAAATGCATATTTCTAGCCTTCTCAGTTCCCTTACTTGTTACCCTTCAATTCTCTTTCCAACAGTACCCTAGTTTATGATATTTTGATGAGCAAATGCCCAAAAATGCCGTTCTAAACATGAAATGCATTCAAAATCTTCCTACCATCTGGACTGAAACTGTCAATACAATAATACCAACCTGAAAACCATGCATATCAGTCAAGATATCATTGCTGGCATGTTCTAAATACTTCTGTAAGTTTTAAACGGCATTTGTCGGGAACTGCTTATCAAAAAATGAAAAATTAGGGTATAGTTGAAGAGAGACTCGAACGCCCTTCAAAATGATGTGCATCTTGACCTCTCTTCTCATATGAGGTCCTGAGGGTAACATCTACCCCTGCCCTCAGGGGCTCACAACTTGTGAGTACGGGAATGGTGAACCCGAGGTACCCTAGCCGGATATTCACCATACTTCAACTTGTCTTGGGTGATATCCTCTTCTCTCTTCCTTTTTCAATCTATCTATCGGCCTTTCTTGGCCAACTTCTCTTTTCCTCCTCCCCTCTAAGCCCAACCTTACCATAAAGTGGTGTGGGGAGGACAGACCGCGGCCGCTCGACGGATGAAGCATTTTGGGACCATCCTTGCTATCTCCGGGCCAGATGGGACAATTTGTGGACATCTGTGGCAGGGATAGGGCGATTTGCTTATGTCTGTCTAGGTGGTCGGGGACTGGTCAACGAGGCTCTGGCAACCTAATCCAAGCTGTGGGAACCCGTGGTGATGGATGAATGGCACCGAGGTATGGTGTCGCTAACGGGGCCTCTGGGAAACAGGGCGACATCTCAGAGTAAGTAGCCTTGGCCCTGTGCAGGGGGCAGCAGAGGGCTGGACCAACCCCTTCCCCCGTCACTCCTAGGAGAAGGAACACTTTTGGCCTCCTTCGTAGGCGAGAACAGGGACCGGAAGAGTAATCTTCAGGAACCTGAACGAAAAAGGTATTTCATATTGAAGAGCACCATGAGTCGTGTATGGTAAAATTGATAATGGCAAGTAGCTAAGATACAATGGGCCACTAGGCTTAAGTGTCGTCAGAGACTTCGGTCAGACGAGCCTACAAACGGGGTGGAGTGTTTAGTGGGTATACCTGGAGTCAGGGGACTCCCATACTATCATAAGGGGGATTGGACCCATATGGTGTCCATAAAGGATTTCAACCACCTCGATTAAAAAAGAAAAAACATCTACCCCTCCTTGGTGGTTGAAAGATATTATGGGGTGGGAAGTTTTCTAAGTGACACGACATGTTTTGGAAACTGCTCGACAGAAAATGATTTACTAGGGTACCGTTGAAAAGAGAATTGAACGCCTTTCAAAATGAAGTGTCACTTGACCCCCCAAGAAGGTTAAAACAAATCATTTCAAGTGTCCCCTTGAAAATAAAATCGTCCTGTTTTTCGATTTCTCATATTATTCACTGGAAGGAAGATATTGAGGGTGGGAAGATTTCAAATTGTCACCCTGTATTATTTTCAAAATTACGAACAAAAAATATGTTCAGAGATAGTTGCTTGCGTATCAGACAAATTCATGGGGCTTTTACTGAGAATAAACAAGTGGTACATAGGTACTAGTGACTCACCCGTAATTTGCAAACCTGCAAACGATTGAAAATCTTCTATCGCTTTCTTATACGATCGCTCGTCTGTAAGATGACTAGAATTTCCTCGAGATGGTGCCAAATATCCATACTGTGATAGGTAGAGCTGCAAAGAAAGAGAAAATCACTACAAAGTACAAACTATGTCAATAATGCACGATGATGATGATGATGAATACAATAAGGATATTTCGGTGAATTATTTGAATTTTATTTTCCCATTATTGAAGAATTTCAAAATTGAGAGCACATTGAGAGTTCCACTTCTTTCCTGCTATACGATATCATTTTCAGATTCACCATGCTATATTATTAATGAAAATCCAATATGGCGCCCATGAGAGGTGATGATTTTGACGTAACGACGAAACGTCGGATACTGAATCTGAAAATGTCGTCGACAAGAAGATGTGCTATCAATTTTGATATTCTTCAACAAATAAGGACAGAAAAAATGATGATGATTTCCAAATGTCTTTCTCCTTTCGTATATATTTTCGGAAGTTCTCGGAATTTCAATATTATTTTTTCCTCTGTGAAACCACGAGTGCTGTGTGCTGCTGATTCCATCAAATGCATTTCTGTTTATTATCATCAAGATACGCTAACATAAAAAAACTCGCCAGCTTAAATAAAGTATAATGGTTGAATAACGAATGATCACTGCCTGCTTATTGAATCGCTTATCATTGGAAAAGTCGATGCCATTATCGTACCTGTTGCTGTTGCAGTCAATCATAAATATAAGTACTTATATTAACGTCAAAACTAATAATTGCAGAATATAATTGATTAATGGCCACAACAACTATACAATCAACAATGTATGTTTCATCGTTCTGATTAGTAGATATGTACACTCGTCTTCAGTGAACATGTCGCGGTTGGACGGTAAGAGCGCTCTTACCACAGCGGTGATTGAGAGCTGACACCGTCCGACATGTTCTCCGAAGACGACTGTACGCTCGTATGTACGCTAGTCGAAACGTCTGATGCAATCGTGTGCCCCAAACGAAATCTTATACGTTCTGCAAACTGTCAATTCCTATTTCATGGTCAGTCAAGGTTGATAATGAAGAACTCAATCGTACTTCGTACTGTCATTATTTTACAGAATTCACAACAGCAACGACTGTAACCAACTGTCGAAAATCAAGTATAAGCAATGGATGATTAACTCGATAGTTCGTTTACCAGAAGTGCCATTCATCTCTTGCTATATCATTTCTCTTTCATGAAGAGATGCCATAATAGACGTCAATGGTGTGTAGTGAAATTTCCTGTTCAATATTCATATAATACAGCGTGTTAATCATAATATATATACAAATAGAGGAAAGTGACGAAAGTAGTATCCGCATAAACCGCAGATTAGTGATTTGTGACAAAACACATTATACGCATCAAGTTTAAGTTGCTGATAGATAATATGTAGACGTTCTTTAAGTGATATAATACTGCCAAATTATTCATTGCCCAAAGTTGAGTTACATCACTATAGCATGCCAAAAAATCTCGCTGATCTTCAATTTTCTGTTTGAATGAATTCATTGAACTTAAAACAGACCCGAATAACCAAAACTGTTGCAATATAATTTGTGATTTACCATATAGTTTCTCAGAAATTGTGAAGCAACGTTATTATGCAAGCATTGAATTCGGTAGACCATACCGCCACAAAGTCATCAACATTTGAGCGTATCAAATATCTGGAAAGCTCAGGAATCTTCAATAATAAGCAATATGGCGTTCGCCATAGAATATCAACTGGAGATATACTTGTATAGGTTACCCATATACAGCGATATTCATTAGAAAAACATGGGGAATCTCTAGCTGTGGTGTTAGATATACCGAAAGCAACATTCGACTGTTTGGCACCAAGGACTCCTCTACAAACTATACCATCATTCGGCTCACCACGTCATCTTTTATCCAGTTTTCTATCAGATAGATCGCTCCATATGCATGGTGATGGACAGAATATCGTCTGATACAACAGCCATCAATACAATACATTTCGATCATTTTTGTCCTGTGAAAATGGAATATGAACCTAGTGTCACAATATAGTAGCCATGATCATGATGACAGCATTTGACAAGTCATTATTGAAGAATACCTACTAGCAGGCCGCTGACCCTAGACAAAAAAAATGGCAAAGTTCGCATGAATTCGCACATTCCAGTTGTTTTTTGCATATTGTCAGGCTATGTACCAATAGTATAAAACCAAGTTTGCAGCTTCGGAAGACCTGCGCTAAAAGCGTGGTGATCAAAAAACCTCGAAATTTTTCGGGTAATTTTGGTTTTCAGCCTTAAAGTCCTATAGTCGACAGATTAGTTGAAAAAAACGTTTGGCTAACATATTCTCATTACGTTTGTGAACGATCAACAAGTTCAACAACACTATGCAAAAGTTAACATTTATAATTTTCATATCGTCAGGAAACTAGAAACTTTGAAATCATCATTCATGGATGTCCTTGTTAGAATCCTACGAACGTCCTTGGGATGGGTCGTTCAACGCCAATGATCATTGTATCTCTACGAGAATCAGGTTATCTGAATCAATGGCACGTAAATATTATGATATCATAATCGACATGTAGGAACTTCCATAGATAAACGAAAAACAAATTTTGATGAGAAATCTAGAGGTTCACGACTAAAGGGCGTACTGACTGAGATTACCGAGTTCGTCTAGCTGGTATTGTTATAGTGATGGTATAAATTTCTGAAGAAAACTCCACACCAGTGATTTTTATACAGTTAAATTGGGTTTTTATGACAAATTAGTGGACATTTTTTTCTCGTGGGTACCAGCGTATGAAATCGGAAATTTTTGTATGACGTTTTGATTAGAGAATAATATTTTGAAGTCCTAAAATAGTGATTTTGTGCCACTTCAATTGGGATTCCCTTTCGTGCGCTCCAAGCGATAAAAAAAAATTATGTCACACACCATTACCAGGGCCAGTGTAAGGCGTTATGGAAGGCTTAAATTCGAAATCTCTGGTACTGATACGCTTCAACAGGAAGATCAAATTACTAAGGTGGACGGGCAAATTGACCTTCATCAGAAATGCTCGAAGGTTCGAAAAGGAGAATTAGGAGAAGGAATAAAGTAGACATTATGTGCACATGACGTGTGCAGCAAGGGTCGGCAAAAAAGGCTCACTGGGGCCTACTTGCTAGGCGACCGCCTCCCCTTTCTCTACGTCATAGATATAGGTACATACTATACCTATATCTATGAAAAATCAATAGACAAAATTATAATTCTTCATCACTTGTAGTATCCTGGAGTTAATATTGAATGGAAGAATATAATATGTTACATTTTGAACAAGTATTTTCATGCAAATATAATAGGTAGAAATCAGGAATCTATTATTGGTTCCGAAACTGCGTTTCAAACTAAATTCATTTATGAACCTGAATTCTAAAATCATTTAATTTCCTAACACAATCTGCTGTGGAATTTTCTTACCGAATACCACACGAGGTCAAATTACTTTCCGGGAATTTCCAGAAATAATTCGACCTCTAGTGGTATTACAAGTGAAATATTCCCATATGAGAGTGTCTTTGGGAAAGTGAAAGGTCGCCGAGTTTGCTGAGGTATTCCGATAGGCATGTTCGTTTGTATTGCTAAAGTTGATTTTTTCCCATTTTTCTCTGTTCATGGCATGATGTAAATAGAGAAAGTCATAGAAAAAAATCAAGTTCAGCATCTAGACCAAGCACAAACGAACATGCCTCACGATGTCAAGAAACCTGTGAGTGTTCTGGTACTTGTGGTGTGGTTATCATCAACTAGGCAATTAGCTCGTCTCTGTATATATATATTGGATCTTTCTTTTATTTTATTCAGACCAGGGAAGAGTCCCTCTTATCCTGATATCTATTATGGAACAAAATAAAAACGGCATTGAAGTTTGATGCGAACAGCCCTTCTGCCCCAAATAAGTTTCAGAAATACATTCTAAGAATTGAAAGAGATCGAACGGAAAAAAAATATCAAAAACTTGAGAATAGTAAATTTGGTCATAATGTCGATATTTTCTCTAGTTTATGGACAATCTCGGTCTTTTGAACTTTGATTGATCACCTGGCTCATATTCAACTGCATTTCGAAGAAGCTGATTCTCATGAACCTCAGCTTTTTCGAAAGTCTTGATGTTTCGTTCTTTAATGACTGACACGATTGGAGGGAGTTTCAGATCCCTGGCGATCTGGTTATTCCGAACATACCAAGGAGACCCTGTCACCATTCTCGCGACTTTGTTTTGTAATGTTTGTAATCTGGTGACATGAGATTTAGCTGTGTGGCCCCAGACTACTGAGGCATACAGTAAAATTGGCCTGATAGCCATGATATAAATATTCAATTTTTGTCTCAAACCCAATTTACTTCGCCTGTTTAGAAATGGATGCAGGGCTCCAATGGCTCGTTTAGCTTTGGAAACTTGCTGTTCAATGTGCTGGGCCCAGGTGAGGTTTTTGTCAATGCACACACCTAGGTATTTAACTTGTGAAGACCACTCTAACTCATGACCATCCAGGACTATTCTGGTTCTGGGAGGCCTCCGCTTCCTTCCGAGTGCGACTATTTGTGTTTTTGTAGGATTCAATTTGATCTTCCATCTTAGGAAGTACTCCTGGAGAGAATTCAGTGCGCTTTGGAGGTTCATAGCTGCTTGCTCGAAATTTGTCGAATATGCAAGAACTGCCGTATCATCAGCAAAAAGCGACATCTTGCACATCACTGGTCTTGGTAAATCGCTAGTATATAAACTGTACAGCAGCGGAGATAAAACTGCACCCTCAGGAACACCAGCTTCAATGGGCTTGATACCAGATCGTTGATCATCAAGTCTTACTTGAAAAGTTCGATTTTTCAGAAATGAACACATCAACTGAATCAAATCGTCAGGAAAGCCCATATCGATCATTTCGTATAAGATACCATCATGCCACACCTTGTCAAATGCTTTCGCTATGTCGAGGAGAGCAAGATGGGTCTTTTGTCTATCATTTTTCAACGATATCGTGTTCTCAATGAGTCTCAAGACTTGTAGTTCAGTTGAGTGGCCAGTTCTGAAACCGAACT